GAAAGTGTGAGAGTCCAAGAAAACATTATAAAAAATATATTTTATTATCGTTATGCTCATTATTTGAATTTCATGAGTATTAAAATATGTAGATTATATTTAAAATGTATTTTAAAATATGTTATTAAATAAAAAAAAAACTATAGTAAAAATGAATTATTTAATCATATATATAAAAAAAAAAATAAAATTCAAGATTTTTTTATATTTGAAACAAAATTAATGAAGAAAAATTATTATTCGCGATGAATTATGTTGAAACATGCAAATGTATTTGCATTTATATATTAATTATTCCAATTTTTATTCTAACGTTTCTTTGTCCTGCTCTGGGTAAGGTGTTTAAATATAATAAATAATTATACATAAATTAATTTTAAATTTATTAATATGAAGTTAAATTATTATAAAAAAATGTTAAAGGATGTTTATAAAGTAAATTTTATTTTCATTTCCCAAATATGTATAGAAATATCAAAGCTTTCAGTTTTTGATCAAACCGAAGGTGAACTTCTTTATAATGTATGGATCGAATACGCGTAAGTGTTCTTTTTATTATTATGTTCTTAAAAAAGTGACACCATTTATAGTTTTTTAATAAATATATTTTTATAGATATTTAGCACTAACAGTGTCGGCAATTGGTATGTACATTTTTCTAAACGTTATATACGAATCACTCGTAACTATTAATAATAAAATCATATATTATATTAACGTTAAGAAATTTGAAATTGGTATTATTAAAATTATTGAATTCTAGTTGGTGTTTATCTATTTTACAGTTGTCTCTTGGTTATTGAAGAGTTATGCAAGATCCACATAACGATGACGAATCTTATATGATTAATGTTCAGACTATAGTTAAACATCTTAGTTCGTTTCAATTTCCTATTCCTATTTTAAACGAATAAGATATAAATAACCTTTATATTATTCCGATTTTTAAAATAATTTTTGTAGGAAATCTAATCAGATGGTTTTTGCCTTATAATCGAAATTCATATGTATAAACCCAATTAACTAATTTTAGGCGTTCTCAATCAGCACGCTCGATGGTATTAGCTAGTGATTGTGATAGTGCTCAACCATTATAACGATATTTAATCAGACCATTCGTTGGAGTCCAATAGTACGAATGGTAGTATAATTGAATTATGCTCATGCATCTTCCTCAATGCGTGATTAGTTTATGATCGTGATGGTGTTTAAAGTATTACAATAAATTAAAATATTGATTGCTTCATCATTATTACCTTTTAGCGATTATGTTCGAAATTACAAAATTAAAACAATGAATAAAGAAAAAGATAAAATAACATTTTCGACAATTCCAAGTTCTGTTTCTTCTTTCAACAATTTCGGCTCCTGTTCCTCTTTTTCAGACTTCACGAACTTTTTATATGTTGCTACAACAAAAATGGCCAATCCAACTTTTTCTGAAACCTACAGCGACAAATAAATCAGATAGAGAGTTCGAAGAAGTAATTAGTATATAATAAATTTTAAATGTGTATATATATTTCTGCAATAATCAAGTATAATTCGTTGACGCTAGTAACGATTTGAAGATCCATAATAACTAATCAATCAATCTATGAAAAAAAAAGATGCCTGGGCCTCTATTTCTTTAACAGATATGATTTCATATTTACAAGATTTATTAATTTTTTTATTTCTATAATAGGCATTATACTGTATGGCATCAAATAATCGATTATTGTAAAAAAATATTAGCTTAAAAAAATCGCTTCGAAAATACATTGGTTTTCGTTTTTATAAAAATGGGTTTGTTCAATAAAATTGGTAGTGGTACGAACAAAGCCACCAGCAGTACACCAACAGTACAGTAATATCGATGATTTTAGAAAGTATAAATATTTATAAATTTAATGAGAATCTTATCTCTTATTGAAAAATCAGAGAATAATATTTTATTACTGCGTATATATCGATATGATTTGACGATGCAAGTCTGCGAAAGAAACTTCCCAAAATATCCCTGTACAAGTTTAAATTTTCTCCGAACAAAGCCATATATTTAAAAGTAAAAGCCTATCTTTTTTCGTTGGATACTAGCAAAATTATGTTGAGAATCTACTTAAATCACAATTTTGATGCGAGTTTTGAATAATCGGGTCATATTTGAAAAAACTGCTAATATGACCTCTTTTTTCGAAAAATGTTATATTCGAAAGCTAGGTATTGGACGTGAAGGTTATATTTTAAAATGGATAATCAATAAATAGGTTATATTTAAAATTTTTGCTAATGAATTATATACGTATTTAAGATGTGCTATGGAAATTTAAAAAAGATCTGTTTTTTAGGATCATGCTATGCCACGATGAGCAAACATAAATTTTAGAAAAGGATAACTAAGATGGAATTTATTATCTACTACTGTATATAGTTGAAATATAGATAATATATATATATATATATATATATATATATATATCAATATACATCAATATAAAAATGCTAACAAAAAAATTTTTACTAAAATATATACCCAAATATAACAACATATATATGTATTATTCGGGGTCCTGTTTCTAAGGCATTCAAAGTATTTCTCCTTTGGAAAGTTTCATGTTTGGACAACTTTTGAAATACTGGTATTTTCGTTAGAATCGTATAATAAACAATTATAACGATAAACAAGAAAAAGTGTTCATTTATTGATTAAAATTGATTATGTTAATTACGTAACTTTCTTCTTTAGGGTATACTAAACTTTATATATCTATCGCATAGCATATGCGATAGCATAGTTGGAATATTTTATAAAAATTGCAGAGTTAACAGGAATTAGGGCAGAAATAAGCATAGTCTATATTTTTTTTTGGAATGAACGTTTAAAATCGTGTCGGTATCGGGAAAATTTATTCAAAAGTGCAGATAATGAACATATAAAACATAACCTTGATCAAAAAAAAATAGGTGTAACCTTTGATAAGTTGGATATTTCGCATGTTTCTCATACCTTTGCCTGAACTTACTGAACTTACATAACTTGCGGCATATTTCTAAAAAAATTATAGCATAGCATATATAGAGTTAGTAGTCAAGGTCTAAATTATCGATCGACTAAACGAATGATGTAAAAATCTGCATATTCAGCCAAGTAATAAGACATCGATCTAAGAGTGATTTTTGACCAGTCAAATTAATCAAGGAATTCAAGATGCAGTTAATGATTTATGTTAATTCTGTTTACACTTAAGATCCAAAATCTATACATGATGTAGAACTAGTTGTAGTTGTGCAGAAAATATTTAGGCACCGATTTATACAATTTACGGTGTATTTCGGTGCACAAATTTTAGCTTATGCCAAAATTCAGGTAAAAATTGTATTGCAATATTTTCTATTCATGTATACCAAAATCAACTTAAATATTACATTAAGTCGATTTTCCAATAAAAAATAGATCGATTTAACCGGGTAAGTCAACTAACACCTATCCTGCTTATAACTATGATTTATAAAGCAGGAAGATTTTGAGTGACTCTAGTCCAGATATTAAGTCATACTACGTAATTTTTCCTAATTTTCATAGTACGTGTATTAAAAAAAATTCAGTTCATAAAATGTCTTCTTTTCTCAGTTTCGGTTCAAAGTTTTCTCGTCTATCCCACGCACTCTTCAACCAACAGTATCTTTCTCATCTTCTGCCACATTATTTGACGATGTCCTTACGGCATCACGAGAATTAGTCAAGGCCAAGCTTAAGAACAGGGTTTTACTGGATCACTCAGCCTCACTTCTTTTGTTTTCAATAAAAACGATTTGCAAGCACTAAAAGTGTTTCGAGCCAGCTCACAAATGCGACGTCCTCCCTTATGGTATAGAAGGTACGAACTATGCTGTTCAACATTCTTTTTTTAGCGAACCTAATGCTAATGTTATTTAATCCCAAGCTTTATACTCTTTCCCAAATCGATTTTGGAAAAAAATTTGATGATGACAATCTTAAAGAAATTTCAGACAGTAAAATCAAAGTATTCTTAAGAGATAGATGCAAAGTTATTAAGAATTAGTAGAAGATGAAGGAACGAAAGAAGCTGTGACTGACGACTAATAATGAATCTACTAGTTCAAGTTGCTGACCATCCCTTGGGAGTTAGGTGAGAAATTATCTATCGATTTCTACCATATCTAAAATTAAATCCCACCTGCAATGCAAATTATACGTCATAGGCGAGCTTTATGTTTCAACGAAACCTGAATTCGTGAATGTGATCGTTTGTAAAGTCTGTATGTTGATTGTTTAAATATTCTAATTTGTTTACTAAACTTTCTTTTAACAGGATAAACACCTGAAAAACACAGCCCTTATTTTTTCAAAAGGCTTTGGGAAAGCACAATTAACGGCTGAAATTCTCGCATGTGGGAATGAAATATGCGTCAAATTGCACTTCAAACTGATGTAATTTCGAATCAAAACTACATTTGGTATTTGCGCTGTCTCCCCGTACTTAACATTTTACAAAACTGTAATTTCTGCAAAATATTGGAATAACTTTATTTCAGCTTACCACAAAAAGAGTCTGTTGTTATTAAAAGACAGTCAAATGGGGAGCGTCCAGAGGCTGATCTGGACATTGCAGAACCAAGCGGGAGATGAGAAGTGCTAGAAGCAGTGATCAATTTCTTTTGCAATAGGTGTCATGATTAGTATAGCTGGGCCTGAAGATCTTTATAGTTTATTAGCATGCTTTATTTCAATGCAATTTTTGTTATAATAAAGAATTTCGGATTTGGCATTATTTTTATTTCGCACAAATTAACCATATATTTATCACACTCTCGTTTACAGGGTATTCAGATTATGATACGTAAAAGCACAAAAAATAAAAGGGGAATTTACAAATAAGGGCCCAGAAAGTGAAAATAATTACAAATACGGGCCTAAATTAAAAACAATTACATATAGAGGCCTAATTTTTAAAAAATATTACATGTAAGGGCCCAAATCTACTGATGGTTGAAAAAACGGATCACAGGCTTATAATGATACGATTGTAGGATTACCGATTGTTTTATTATAGACATTTAGAGTTAGTTATCTATATATTGATTATTAGATAAAGAATAAATGAAGTGCTAGTTATAATCGTTTTCGCTTAAATATTGCATAAAAATAGCGTTAAACTAGCACAATTATTCATAAGGCGAAGTTCAACAAAGTAACTTTCTAAAGCTGAACGAACATCTATATTAGCAAATGACATGCCAATTCGCAATGTTTAACTTGACATCATAGTGGTTCGTAATAACAATAAGCAATTTCATACAAAGAAATTAATTTTATTAAATTTAAAAAATTTTCTTTTCTCATTTCTAATTATTAATTTACAATCGATCCTTACATTTTTTATGCAATGTTTACGTTTTTTATACTAATAATGATCAAGCCACAGGCGTGAAGAGCGTCACAGTTATTTTGGGCCCTTATATGTAATATTTTTTAAAAATTAGGCCCTTATATATAATTATTTTTAATTTGGGCCCGTATTTGTAATTATTTTCACTTTCTGGGCCCTTATTTGTAAATTCCCCAAAAATTAAATAATTTACTCCAAATAAAAGTACAACCCCCTAGCATAACCACCACGATCAGTTGCGTAATCGCTGTTTAAATCTGATTTGATTTTACTTAACAGATCTCATAACCTTTTGGTAACTAATTCCAACTCTGATCGTGGTGGTTATACTAGGTTCGTGATAGAAGTACCCTTATCTGAGTATTAACTAGGCACTTACTCGAGTAATTCTTGGGTTTATCTACCCGAGTATGTCTATCCGGAAATTACTTAGGTTTATCCACCCGGATAATACCCGGATGTACTTACCCAAGTAGATGTAGTTGTTACCCGGTTATCCGGTTACTCGCGGTTAATCCGAGTAATGCTTGACCCGAGTACAATCACTAGTTGCAATTAGTTCTTTTATTTGCCGCACCGCACAGAAAAGATCTATAAATTGTGCGGCATCCGCGTACGAATACCAGCCCCTTTATTTTCATATGTTAAACCCGATTGAAACCGTTTTAACGTACGAAAATGAACCGGCTTCAAGCTCTACATTGGGATACTAAAATCCGAGACCTAGAATATATGCTAGAAACAATAAAATGCGAGCTGTACTCCAACGAGTCCTGAACGCTAGCGTTACAAGTAAGTTTTTTAATGAATCTGTACAAGACTAAACTCATTATGGGGTTCTCACATTTAAGTTAGTAAATAACGTCCAGGTCTCATCGATCAATCGAGGGCTTTGCGTTCTTGTTGGCATCGCAGCCGATGATACCGAAGATGATTTAGAGTACCTTATAAAAAAAATTCTTAATGTTCGGGTGTTTGAAGATGAAACTGGAAAACAGATGTGGGCAAGAAATGTTAAAGACATGGGGTTAGAAATTTTATGCGGTTAGTAGTAGTGTATAAGTACATTATGTAAAATTTTAAATTTGCCGATTTGTTCAATAACAAAGTTTAATATATCAAAGTTTCCCAATTCACTTTATACGGGGATGTAACGAAAGGCATGATAGTTTTAAAATATTTCTACATTTCAGCATTTGGGCTTGAACTTAAGCTCTACAATTACGTATACGTTTTAGGAAACAAACCTGATTTTCATTGTTCTATGAAAGCAGAATTTTCGAAGGAGATGTATGCGAATTTTATAAGTAGAATGAAACAGGAGTATTTTGAAGATAGAATAAAAGGTATCATAATTTGTAAACATAATTTTTACAGTGATTTCAAACGTCAGTAAAATTAACAAATAAAATTTATTTTTGATTGTTAATACCCATTTATTAAGATGGAGTTTTTGGTGCCATGATGAATGTTTCTCTTGTAAATGAGGTAAATTATATTTCATTAGCTTACAATTGAAGGGCGAATAATTTCAACACTATCGGTGAAATTGATATTGAATTGAAATTTGATGAATTTCATCAGATCTCTACTTACAATAATTTGAATGAGTAGGAAACGCTGAGTAAAAATATTTTCATTTAAATTTAATAGGGACCAGTTACATTAGAACTGGATTCGCGTAAATTCATTTACACTGAAAAAAAAGTATCTTCGTCAAAGTCTAAAGTAGAGATATCAAAGAAATAATTACTTCTAATAAACTGTATAAACCTACGCAATCAAACAGCAAATGCCGAATACTTTATTTCTGGAACTCTCCTGCCATAAAAAGTTTTCCAAGAGTTGGCCCAGAATATTGATTCAATTGTTTACAATAATTGTTAATCTGAGAAGTAATTAATAAAGAATCTAATCTTGATGGTTCGGGTGGAAATTTAAACATTTTTACAATATCTTCTTCCGGAAGGGGATCCTGTCCAGAAGCGAGACGATGTGCATTTTCTTGTTTCTTTTTTAAATGAACGAAGTATTATTATATTCATAACAAATAATATGTTAATAAAATGTAAAGTTGTTAAAATACATACTCTCTTTTGCAAAGCAGTCTGCATCTTAGCTTGTTCTCTAACAACACTCCTTTGCCAAAACGCGAAGTTACTTTGTTCTTGACTATGCTCTTCCACCGCCTCTAATAAGAATTCCAAATTTTTTTCAATATATGGATCGAGACTTAATTCCAAAGTGTCAAAATTTGGAGTTAAAGGGCCAACTACAGTCTCTTTATCTAATGAAGAAGCTTTTGGGATAACATGTTCGTAATCATCTAATGAATGAAGAAGTGCGGTCACCAAGTGGGAATTTTTAATCATAATTGGAAGCTCTTCAAAAATAGTGGAAAAAGTAAGTTTGTTCTTTATGAGTGATTCAGTGGTAAACTTTCCCTCTTTCTGTGCTTCCATAAATGCTCGAGTGAATCTAAAAGCGCGGAGAGATAGATTTCCATGAGTTGACCGGGAAACATCTAATATATACACGAAATTGTTATTGGAATTCTTTAATGGAAATTTCAAATGTGATTAACGCTATACCATGAACAATGACTACGCTTTTGTTATTAAATGTTTGTTGATAATTATATTGAGTCTCAATCAGTTTATGCGTTACGAAAGACCCTAGATATGTAGATTGGTACCACCCAACAGTATTATGATCTACGTTGACATCGCGGAGACATCGCATCATATCTACTTGATATCGAGCACCTGTAAACAAAGCAGCGAATACAGTGTGAATTATGTTTCAATTATAATTTTTTTTTTTTTTTTAACAATTGGGAAGCAGCCTTAGTAGATCATTCTCAAACGAACCATCTACTATCTCATTTTCATCGTCGGGCTTTGAGCCCGGGAAAGGGAAACAATTAGTCACTTCAAGGATACCATTCACATCAAGGCCAAGGAGTTGACCGGTAACCGGGCTAGGGAAAAATTCTCGACAATGCTTAATTATTTTTAAAACTACCTGAACAAATTGAGAGTATTTAGTAAGAATTTTACTCGGATCAATAAAATTTATGAGCTCAATAAATTACCAGTCCGTCGAGTTGAACGCTCTCCAGTGGAACGTTACCTTCAACGTCCAGAGCTGCAGTTACATTAACGTTTGAGAGTCCATCCTTAGTAGTCGTGGAACCGTTCGAAGTCATCTTTTTGTAATGTCACTTTTTAAAAAAAGCATACTTGAAGTTTCTTTTTATTGGTTAGTGTACATATCCATCCACATGATAAGCCTATTGTTAAACCTGCTTAATCGGTTTTGTAAAACCAAACTCTGAGATAGCCAATAAAAAATTCCAACCAAAATTGGATAAAATGATGTAAAATATGAACGATAGTTTTTCTTTGTGTAGTTCTCGTACGTAAAATAATGAATTCAAAGAAACCTTCAAAGCCGTTTGGCTTCGGATTTGCGCATGGCTCAGCAAGTAAACCCAAATCATTGCTTGATCCGGAAGAACAAACCCATAAAAAGCCAACGGCATTGGACTATTTTTCTGAAGAAGATTCCCAACCAAAAAAGCGAAAACTTATAAAATTAGAGGATGATTTAGATGAGGGCTTTGATAAACAAGATAAATTATCCAATGTTAACGAAGACTACGTTGGCGATCTAGAAGATGATAGACCTCCGCCTCCTCGAACTTCAACTGGTTAGTACGTTTTATACTTGCATCCTTAAAGGCCGCAAGTAACTGTTGTGTAGTAACTGTTGTATACAACATATTAGGAATTCAAGGATTTGTGCCTCAGGGCTTTAGTCTTGACAAGGGCTTCACCAATGTTCATGAGGTTACGTCTGATACTAAATTGGATGATGTACAAAAAGATGATGAGATTGACGATCCTCTTGATGCTTTCATGCTTGATATTGATAATCAAGTTCAAAAGGAAAGTCAGAATAAGTCTTTGCAAGAAAAAGTACGGATAAATTATTGAGTTTCATTATGATGTTAATACTGGTAATAGTTGAAATATTCATATCATTATTAATTTAGATTCGTAGAGATGATATTGAAGATGAAGATTTTGTTGAAAGTTACGTCAATCATATGAAGAAAAAAGGAATTGAAGTGGGTAAAAGTCAACGACCAATCGAAAAGGATGAGGTAATTTCAATAATATTCGTGTTTTAGTTTGTTTATATAGATATCTGATGTACGTCAAATGTAGAACGTGAATTCAGATGAAGAAGTGTATGCTACTGCCAGGGCTATTGACGCTCAACTTGAGTATGAAATCCATATATACCTATTATCTATTTAATTTGGCCTAATTGTACTAACAACAGAATACGTGACTATAGATACGATTCCGATGATAATCCAATCGTGGAACAAAAGCGCAAAGACATCGAACCACTTCCAGCAGTTGGTAAATATTTGTTTTGTAGTAGCTATTATTCTATATGCCAACATTTTATATATGAATAACGATCAAACGATTATGCAATAGATCATTCTCAAATTGAATATCCAGAAATTGAGAAATTCTTTTATGAAGAGCATCCAGATATTGCCGAATTATCTGATGAGCGTGTCAAGGAAATACGTCGAGAACTTGGTGATTTTTGATTTTAGAATGCGATATTAAATTTAGATATAATCAAAGCATTTATTGTTTTCTTTTCATTCTCCACATAGACATGCATGTTTCTGGCGCTGATGTCGCGAAGCCTTGCATTTCCTTTGCACATTTTGGGTTTGACGAGGCTTTACTGAATGTTATTATTAAACATGGATATTCGGAACCGACTGGAATTCAGAAGCAGGTATTATTACAATATAACACTTTTTTTTTTTTCTCCTGATCTTTAAATCTTTTTTTCTTTAATAGGCGGTACCTGTTGCAATGTCCGGTAGAGATATTATTGGTATTGCGAAAACAGGTAGACATTATTATGATTAGCTACAAAGATTTTTATGAATTTAATTAACCCAATACCTTTATATTATAAGGCTCTGGTAAAACTGCCGCTTTTATTTGGCCCATGTTGATACATATCATGGATCAAGAAGAATTACAAAAAGGTTGGGCGTAATTTCACATTAATATTTTATGTTTTTTTTAAAATCTTAAATATATATATGAACATTTGTACTTGATTAAAATAGGTGAAGGGCCAATTGGTTTAATACTAGCACCGACGAGGGAATTGGCTAGCCAGATATACACTGAAGCCAAAAAATTTGCAAAGAGTTACGGTCTGAGGTAGAAATCAAAAATATAAATTTAGTCCCATATTGGTAGAAATGGAATCAAAAACGACGCACACACTACTCTCTCTGCTCCTTCCCAAATACTTGCTTTACCCAAAATGCAGAGTTGCAGCAGTTTATGGAGGTGCTTCGAAAATGGATCAATTCAAAGAACTCCGACCCGGTGGAATAGAGATACTAGTGGGTACGCCGGTAAGTAAAAAAAATTTTTGTTCTTTATTGCCTACGTTAGCGAACAGATTCTAATATATATTGTTCATATTTTAAAATTAGGGAAGACTTATTGATATGGTCAAAATGAAAGCGACGAATTTTCGACGAGTTAGCTTCTTGGTTCTTGATGAAGCAGACAGGATGTTTGACCTCGGTTTTGGTGTGTAAACATAATTTTTAATTACTTTTAAATCCTAAGAGAAAATAGTGTGATTCATTGTAACATATATATATATTTCACTGTCTTAAGAGCCGCAAGTCCGTTCCATCTGTGACAATATTAGACCAGATAGGCAAAGTATGGTTCAAAATTCGTTTGTTAATTTGATCTTTATATAAGAATATTCTCATCGCCGAATATCATATAGCGTTATTGTTTAGTGCGACATTCCCCAAAAAAGTTGAGATTCTAGCTCGTGAAGTAACTGCGGAACCAGTAAGGATTTCCATTGGTAGCGTTGGCCAGGTACATCCTATTTTTTGTATCCTAATAAATAATTTAATAATTAAATTCTAATTATATGGATAAATTCTTAGGCGAATACTGATATTACGCAAAGGATAGAAATTTTGGCTGATGACGGTTATAAGTGGGATTGGTTAATGAACTATTTAGTGTCATTTTGTGTTGGTAAGCTTCACTTTACGCATTAATATGTTGAATTTCTAAGCTAATATTTAATTGTCTATTTCAAGAGGGTAGTGTTCTCATCTTTGTTAGTCGTAAAGATGGTGTTGAAGAGTTGTCAAAAAATTTACAGCAAGTCAATTATGAGTGTATGTTTAAGTTTTCGTTTTCAAAGTACCTTTATTTTGATGATAATCATATTTTTAATATATATATAGGTGGTGCGCTGCATGGTGACATGATGCAATCAGAACGTGACAAAGTATTGAAAGATTTTAAAAATAATAAATTTCCAATCATGGTTGCGACTGATGTAGCTGGTGCGTGCAACTGAAAAGACTTTCTTATAGTTTTTATTGCTTTTTATTGAAATGTGATAAACAATTTAGCAAGAGGACTTGATATAAAGGCCGTCAAAACCGTCGTCAATTATGATATTGCACGTGACATCGATTCACATGTTCATCGGATTGGAAGAACAGGCCGAGCGGGTAAGATATATATAATAAATTTATTTGATTTAGATCGAAATAATAACTATGTCTCGTTAAATTTATTACCTTCTCTAGGAGAGAAAGGTACTGCTTATACGCTTATCACCCAAAAGGAAGATAAATTTGCTGGAGACCTAGTGAGAAATTTAGAAGCTTCGGGTCAACAAGTCCCTGATGCTTTAATGAGCTTGGCGATGCAGGTCGTTATTAGTTGTATTTTTGTTTTATAATTTGTGACATGTAGGAGATAGTTTTTTTTTATTGACTTTATTTTATTTAGAACTCGAGATTCAGAAAATCACGAAATATGATACGTAGAGGGCGTGGTAGATCTGGTGGACGAGGTCGCGGTTACGGAAGGGGCCGTGGTAAAGGTTAGTATTTTTTATTCATTTATTTTTTTTTTATTTTATTGTAGACTTTGAGCAAGGGCTGTTTACAATAACAATATCGTGTAGGTCGTGGGACAAATATTTCTAATTCGAACTCAATACCACTTGGAGGAAGGGCTGGCATTGGAAGCGCGGGTGTACAAATACCTCCACCTCCACAGCTTAATGCTGATACTTCTGGTCATGCCGGTGGAAGGCACCCAATGAATTTCCAGAAAGCCTCAACAGCAGATGCCGAGTTAGGACTTTTACGTTCAAGTAAATCGTCAACTTCTTCGCAGTCAGGAAATCAACGTAAACGACGCTGGGATTCTTAATAAATCCGGGTTGAAAACTGTTATCCGAATTTCGTATGCCACAGGATTAGGGATTACGCAGGTTACTTGTTGTTATTTATAACGATTTTACCTTTTTTTTTTTTTGGATATTCATTGTATGCTAGTGTAAAATATTATTAAACTTGTGAGGATCATTTTTACAATGTGTTTATCAATGAATAGTCTGAATATCACATTTTACTGTGTTTATGTATCATTTACATTACTATTTTCTCAGTTACACTTTCTTTAATAAATAAAAGAACATTCATCAATAATTAAATAGATGCACATGGCGAATTACTTGTCAATTGATATATAAGGTTATATTCTTACTAAAACATACCTATGGTGTTTAACATTTATCTAAAAAAAAAAACTGGGTAATTTGCTTTAGAAATCCTTTACAACCTTTAAATCTAACATAAATACTGTATACCGGTATGAAAATTTAAAATTTTTACCATAGGTGTATTTTATAGTAAATGCAAGAAAGCCGTTTTCCTAGTATTTAATAGTAACGAAGTATTATAGCTAATAATTAACTACATTCAATCCCGACCACCAAATCATGAGTTATTTTTATAATGGAAAAAGTAAATTGGTAGTACAAAAAATTATAGTTTCGATATATCCGTTCAACTTTTTAATATTGTCGTAATAAGAGGCTTTTATAATAGTGAATTAAATAAAATTATCTAATTACACCAAGGGAACAATTGAAACCAGTAAGTTATAAGCTTAAAAACCCAAAGTCTATTAATGAACCTTGGTGACATATATTGAACGCACAAAAAATGCACTAGTATGTGACATATGTTGCTGCGGCATAATATCCCAACGTTAAATAAAGAAATTATCTTGCGGTCTAGTTCTTTCTCACTAAGACGAATCGAATGGTGTAAAATCATTGGGTTCTGGCCATTACCCATACTTCATTATATACATACTGTATATACTGTATTGTCGCGAAATAACGGGCATGGGCGTTATTTAGAAAATCGTGTCTCCTAAAAATGGCATGCATTGTTTCAAAATAACGCCCATGCGCGTCCCAAAAAATGACGCGCACCCTATATTAGGGTTTCAACAAGTAATTAGATATAACAGGCATGTTTAGGAGAAATTTTAAGAATACTGATATATAATTTGTAAATTCTACTATTAACATCAATTTTTTTCTTTTTTCATCAGAAGGTTAATTGCCCTCGACTTGTATGAATGGAATAATTTTTGATGCCTCCGATTACATTGAGACTGAGATTTCAATTTTCTTTTACTATGACTAATAATACTCTGATATATGGGCACAGGATTTTTGGTTATGAGCTCTGGGAAGTGGAGCAAGCACACTGAGATAAGTATTTTATGTATTCTGTTCACCGTGACCATTTTTCCGTGTGTACTATAAGTCTTTAGTAATCTGTCTCTTCTTCCAGATTCATATTTTCCTACACAGGCATGAGAAATATGGATTGTTTCGTCGCCATGATTTCGTCACGAATCGGTGAATAATTCCGTTACAATTGCTGGAACAAGTCATTGCGCTGCTATCATTTAATAATTTAATAATTAGGACTCTAATCCCCCGATCATTGTGCCAGATCACGGGGGATTAATGAATAATATCTTGATCCGTATGTGAATAAGCGGAAACTTCATTTCCACTAATCCTAATGGATAAGGATATTATTATCATAGGTTCGAATCGCATCTTGTAATCTTTCGGACAACTTTATATAGTATTCTAATATCTCATAATAATCCAGTTGTCAATTCTTTTAAATAACAAATATTCTTACTATATAAATTATTTAGCAGGCTTGTCTAGTTCTTTATCAAAGTTGATTAGCAATTCTTTTTTTAAGTTTTCAAGATTAAATAATTAAAATTTTTTTTTTAAAAGAATCTTTTTTTTTAAAAAGAATTAATGTTCAAATTTAATCATCAGAATTAAAAAAAAGAACTTAATATATAAGAATGCTTTATTTAAAAATTCAGTGTAATCTTGTCGAAGCTAGGAAGATTCCAAAAATCTACCATTCTCTCTAGTATATTATTTATTTGAATCCCTCTCTAAACTTGTATAACCTGTATACAATCTTCTATTACTTCTTTTGTCATTTGTAGAGGTTTCCTATCTTTTATTAAGAATGAAACAATATTTTATAATTACTATATTGATTAACAATAATGATCTAATCTAACCAATACAATTATTTATATATATAACTAATATATTTTTTAAGATATTATAAAAAAAGAAGTAATTTGATAAATTGAGATTTCTTATAATCTAGTGATTATTGAGTATTCATATCATACGAGCCATAATTAGTTGCTAGGGCGTTTTCGTCGTATTCGCTTATATTTCCTTGCGGGTAGTAATATCTTTGTTGTTGTTGCCACTGCCAATATTGTTGTTGCTGTTGTTGAACTCCGTGCAGGCGTTCCATGTAGTTCACATACAATTTATCCACCATTTCTTGGTAACCTTTCCGTCGATTATACCAATATTCGTTGAGTGCGCTACGCTTCTCTCCACTAGTTGATTGAGTTAAGCTGGTTCGTCCAGAGGTCACTCTCATAACGTCAAAGCCGAAACCAAGAACCATTTGGACTGTATTGACACAACCGATAACCATCAAAAGGGAATTCCATATAAAGAACCTAAAAAAAAAAGAATTAAAATTATTTTAGCAAAGAAATAAGGCATATTGAAGAGCATCGAAAACAAATAGAAGCAAAAAATATACATCATAATTAGGTGGGCGGAAAACGCTAGCCATCGGTTTATAGCAAGCGTCAAAAGGGCGATAATATGAAATGTCTTGCGGAAAAGACCCGAAATAAAACCAAGAATAGACATAGTGTTTTTAAAAGAAAGCAGTTGTAGACGTGTTTACTTTCTTTTACAAAAGAAACATTAAAGATTTAACGAGTGATAGATTCAAGGGTGTGAATCTTTTTAAGGCGGAATTTTTCCTAATTGATAATTACGCCTGAGCAGGGCCCGAAACGAGTTACCAAACATTTGCCTTCATGATTCAAATATCAAATTAGGAAACTGTAGTTATCACACACAGCTCTAGACATGTGCAATTCATAATTACGATCTTTGTATTACGATTTATGCATCTATATTGACGGATAGTCAAGATACGCAATATGTAGATCAAGTACTCTTTTAATCTTATTGCGTTGATAGATATATAAGTTTACATGTTAACTGTCCAACGAACAGTCCGAATTCTTAAAAATGTACAGGTACATTTAAAAATTAAATTTAATAACGATAACTTTAAAGCAGGTTATTATATTAAAAATTTTTGTACGTATTATCCAAATTATTCAAATGATGTAACTATTTATTGCTTTAAAAAATAGGCAATTTTCTACGTATACGTATATTGTGTACGTATACGTAATATAAATATAAATAAATATATATATATATATATAGTGTGCTTTTAAAACTATGTTGCCATATTTAGTAAATTTTAGTAGTTCTCTATAACTTAATCGTTAAAATAATTATTAATTCGTAATTTTAGCCAAATTAATAAAATG